CTTACCTCTCAGGCAGATGCACTCCGATTCTGAAGGAAGCTCCCAATTAGTCGACTCTTATATCATGCTTTTGGGAAGGCAGTGAGTCTATTCTTGTTTTCCTTATATAGGACCATAGGAACTGTCCAGGGATTAAAACTATCCTTGCTGCCTGTATTTACCACTTAGAAGGAGGTTTAGGGCGTTGTGAGCATGAGCATTTAAGGACACGTGGCTAATGCAGTTGCCATGAATCCAATGGTCAATATCTAGTCAGTCAGTCAGTAACATGTCCGTTGCAGAACCTTGCTCTCATAACCCTTCGGAAAACTTCTCGATCACAAGCAAGATATCCCACATCTGATACATCCATCTGAGATCATCCGCCACATCCTGCACCCATCTTCTCTTAGGCCTTCCTCTTCCTCTCTTCCCAGGCATATATCCTTCTATTTTTGTTCTCTTTAAACTTTCGTGACGTTTCAAGTAACCAAAATATTTAAATTTTCTGTGTTTTATCGTCTTTAATAACCAACCTTCTTCAGTATTCAGTTCTTGAAGTATGGATGCATTTGTTCTTTTCTTTACCCCTGATATTCTTAGAACCCGTCTATAACATTTGTATTCAAAGGCATTTATGCGCTGTTCAGCTTGTTTAGTAAGTTTCAAGGTTTCACAGGCATATGTTGCAATGGGAAAGATGCCTGCTCTTATAAATCTAATTTTTGTAGTTCTGTCTGTTTTACTCCATAATTTATTCAGTTGTTTTAGTCTTTGAAGAGCAATTGATAGTTGTCGTTTAATTTCTTTCATTGTGTCACCATTGTTAATAATCAATGACCCAAGATATTCACAATTTTCCACAACCTCCAATCTTTCCTCATTAACATATATTTCTTTCTCCATGGTACTTTTATCTGTATGCATTATCTTTGTTTTTGCTATGTTAAGATATAAGTTGTGATTTTCACTATTTCTTTGGGTTGAGGTTACTAAGTTCTCTATACCAGTCTGTAATGTGGATAGCAATACTGAATCATCGGCATATCAGATCTCTGGTATTTCATGACCACCAATATTTAGGGCATCAAATTCTAACTGCTGCTTGTTGGTCTAGATAGAGCATTGTTATGAGGTGTACTACATGTGATGGAAAGCCCATATACCTCTTGATTTACCAAAGTTTCTGATATTGTACTGATGTTGTACACAATCAAATGCCTTCGTATAATCCACAAACATGAGAATAGGTTTACTTTAAATTCTCTGGACCTCTCTATTTTTTTAATGCAATATCTAGTGAAAGAGGATAATGGCATGATACTGACCACATCACCCACCAAGAGCAGATTGGTCTATAAAATACAGTCTAGCCCTGTATGCCCAATGGGGAGTCGCTGTGGCGTAGCGGCTAGACACTCGCGTGCAGATAGGAAAGTCGTAGGTTCGCTCTCTGGCAGAGCCGGACATTTTTTAAAAAAAAAACCTGACTCCCAGGTCAAACCAGCCCTGAGTGGGTACCGGATGCAGTCCCGGGAAGTAAAGGTGGCCGGCGTGATGCTTACCACATCAACCATCTTGTGCCGATTGGTCTATAAAAATATAGGGCTAGCCCTACATGCCTAAAGGGGTGGAAAGGGGTCCTTTACTTTACTATATGCCCAATACGCCTGAAGGTGTGGAACAAGGTCCTTTAATTTTTACTAAAGACCATAAACTGAATTTATTCACAAAATCATAAACAACCATTTATTTACTGTGCATCTCATACATTAATTTTCTTTAATGAATCATAACAGTGCACATGGAATATCTGTTACAAATTTATTACAAAACACACACAACAAAATAAGCATGTAAGCTGCTGATGTACATAAGCCCACCTGTTTTAACTACTTTTACCTAAAATTAGCAAAAACTGATTTACAATAAAGGAATAATATATTATTACCTTATTCAGTACCATAATCTCTGCTAGCACAGAGGCTGGATGCTTGCTTATCAGATTGGTCTTTGTTTGAAATAAGCATTGGTGTCCATTTTTATAATTCCAGGTCAACCCAGCCTAAAATGGGCACCAGGAAATATCTTGGGAAGTAAAAGTGGATGCTGACCACATCCCTATTGAGCGCCAACTGGTCTATAAAAATATTCCTCTAACACAGTGGTGTGTTGGGTAAACCCCCCCCCCCCCTTTTCCCAATGTATCTGGCAAGACCACCACCCCCCACATAAGCAAATGTGGTTGGAAAGAGGACAAAAAGAAAAACCCTGAGCACTATTAACAAGAACTTGTAGAAAAACATCCATATAAATTAGTGTGTCAAGTAACAAAAGAAACAATCTCCAACAACATAATTCAGTGTCTAAATATCAATGTGATGGTTGGCATAGTTTTGACTTCATTTCTGCCTTTTTTGGTCTGATGTTGGGTAAGGCACAGCAGAGATTACTCTCCATATGAAGATAGCAGAGCTGATTTAGTTTCATAACTTAAAGCTGAAAATGAGGATTATTACAACTACAAATGGACTCATTTTCAAAACTGCATAAAGTCCCCGCTTGAAACTTCCTCACGCTCCCCGGAAGGGTGGAAACCCCCCCCCCCCCCCCTGCTCTAATCTAACATCTTATATACAAATGATGTGAAAAGAATCCTTTACTTACTTTAAACACTGATGGATCAGAAAGGTTGGATTCGGGGAAAAAGAAACATCAAACTGCCCAGTATACCCCATCAACCCGCCATTCCATGATGGCAAGAACTCTATGTTATCAGTTCTCAATGCTGACCCTTCACAACAGGTACTGCGAGCTCAAATGGGTCGGTGGTGGGCTGTAGCAACTTTATTAATTTGATGGATGGCAAAGTAAACCTAATGGTGTTATACAGAACCTGTGATGTTTAATACCTTCTTGCAGTGGAGACGTGGTTTTTTCATGAAATAAATTTTTTTTTAGAAGAGAAAGGTACTTTATATGAAGTGAACAGAAGGGCGCATTCTTCCTGCCCTGATGCCAAGAGACATTCTAGGAATAAAAAAATAAAAAAAGAAGAAGAAGAATGTCATGGAAAAAATGAAAACAAAAGAAGGCAGTTCTTGATGAGACAGATGAAAACCATAAATTGATTCGAGAAATTAGACGTAGACTGTCAGTGTTTTCTGGACATGTTATAACGAGGAATGGACTCGAGAATATGGTTACAACTGGTAAGATTGATGGAAATGAGCAAGGGGAATGAAAACAGATAAATGCCTGCAAGGCTTATATATATAAATATATATATATGGATGGGGCAAGACAGCACTGAACTAATTTGTGATCGTGCAAGATGACTGCCTACGTTTACCGGCAGGGCACAAGATAACGCTGATAGCAAACACTGCCCCCCCCCCCAACCCCATTCCCAGTGCTACAGTAAAAACCCTGATTGTGGAGATCTGTGCTATTTGCCTGAGCTTGAGTTTCACAATATACTGTTCTTATTTTTATCACTCAACACCTCACTGTAAAATCACCAGTCTCCAAGATTTTTAAGTCTTATTTTTTTCAATGCTTAATTAACAAATTCCAAATGCGTTGTAATTTCCATTGAGTTTCTTTCTTGTAATGAGACGTGTCTGATTGATGGGCTTAGGTGAATCTGCACCAAGACCCCCCACACCAGTCTATGATACATACTGTTTGGTTGTGAAATGGAAATCGCTTCCATTTGGATTGCTTACAAAAAATGCTGCACATAAAATGACAGGGCTCCAGATGTACACATACTTTTGGGGGCTAGCATTGCAAGATGGCTTGGCCACCTGAATGAGATGAGAGAAGATCTCTGACCTGTTCCATGACTCTCGTGATTGTATGCAATGATGGATTCTTTTTATGTTTTCCACCCTAGAAAGAGAGTGACTTTCCTTTCCATTCATGCCTCGTCGTGTTGTGGTGGTGTCACGCTTAGTAAGCGTATATTATAGTCTGCACTCTCTCGTGGGATATAGGCTGCACTCTCTCATCAGACTTGGGTTAGGCTGTGGGGTAGGGGGGGTTAGGGTTAGGTCCAGTTCTACATGCTTTGGGGCTGTTAAAAGTGCTCACATTGTGAAATATAGAACATGCAATATCGCCAGCTGCTCACGAGTAAAATACTATGTGTTGCTGGAAGCTCACTAAGCATGACACCCCCACAACATAGGACTGGCCCTGCGACACGACGAGGCATGAATGAGTGCTGCCACTCAGCACAGCACATGATGATGATTGCAGATATCTATTCTTTCTTAGGCAAGTCACATTTCAGATGGGTGAGGCATATTGCTTGCCTGCCAAACAAACAGATACACAAAAAATATATGGCAAAAATATATGGTGGACAGATCAGAGAATAATGACACTGTGAAAGAATCCAGATCTGTGGTACTGACTTTGAAAACTAGTATAATGATGATCTCAACTTGGCATAGTGACTTTTTAGCAGTTATGAGTGGTAGTTATGGCTTTTCAGCAATAACATAGAAATAAGGGGAATAATGATGAACTGTAACAATGCTGTGTATTAGGCAGTTATTGAGCAGACAGGCTGGTTGCTGCCACTCCCTAGATGATGAGCTGTTTGTGATGAAATACATATGGTGAAAGCTGTCTGGAATTAACTGAACTGTGTTGCAGAGAAGGGCATCCACAACTGAAAATACTATTTCAACAGGATGAGCAAGGAATCTTGACAATATTCAATATGTAAATGAACAGATAGGCAGACTTTAACACAGGCAGCCACTTGTACCAACAGCACGGGTGTTCTTCTCTGGCTGTTAAGAAGAGGTGCAAGCATGACTCGGTATATCTCCAGTCCAGTAATGGTGATAGGCCATTCCAATTTACCATCATGAATATTGTAAACATACTTGTTTCCAATGAAAATATTTGTCAACACATCAAAATTATTTCCAGTAATTTGCAGGAGGTCAAAACTGGCAATACATTAAAAACATCTTTTGGCCAGTATATTACTGAATTAAATGAAGCTATTCATTCTCATCATCAAGAGTAAATTTACCTAATTTACCATCTCGAAATGCAGCACAGAACATAACTGCAGCAGCTAAATTGTTAGGACGATAAACAAACTGATTGGTTGCAACATCCTTAACACGTAAAATGGTTTTGTTCCTGATGGCAATTTTGGCCAACACATTCAAAATATTATCCGAAGGTTCATCAAGTTCAAAATAGTCAACATAATCAAAGTGTCTTCTGCTGTTCAACCAGAACAAGATGTAATCAGCTATGCTCACCTCCCCTACCAGCTGGTCTGGCAAGCAGGCGCAAGCTGCAAGTCTCATACCCGTTTCTAGCCCGGGTATCTTCGGAGGCATTATACCTGGCGTATCAATAATATACACAGGAGGATTTGAACTCACTTTAATTTTAGTCAAAACACTTCTTGTAATACCAGCTAGAGCGCCCACCGTTGTTGCTTTTCCTTTCTTCATCAGAGTAGCATTTCTTAAGGAATTAATAAAAGTGGACTTTCCAACATTAGGAACACCAACAACAAGCAAATTTAACTCTTCGTTTCCTTCCCTGTTATATCTGGGTCTTGAATAAACCAGATCCTTTACCATCGGTAAAATGTCGCTTAAAACTTGCTGGTGTGTAGATTGTCGAAAGCTTGTGAAATACACGTTGTCAACGCCTTGACTTTTTAGGTCTGTCACAACCTTATCCTTCTTACTGCTGTTTTCAGCAAAATCAGTCAGATCCGCTTTATTTAATAACAGAATGTGGGGACGCAGTTTGATTATATCTCTTAAATGTAAATTTCTTCCCGAAAACGGAAGCCGTGCATCGTGTATTTCAACGATGCAATCAATGGCTTTCAATTTGGCCTGTATCTGAAACATCCCTTTCATCATATGACCTGGAAACCACTGAACTATATGAGAATTTGGTAGCGAAAACTTTTTTCGAAACGACTTATGCAACTGTAAGAATTTGCTGGACATTGCAATTATGTTTACTTTCTAAGCTTTCTCTCCTAATTATCGGGAAACATTAGTTATTGATAAACTGAAAACGTCCTTCGGAATGTCAACTATTTTATTTATTATTTGAGAGTTACCGGCCTTCTCTTCCTCACACCTCCCATTTTTTTTTTTGCTCGTACACATCTCACATGCAGGGTTGCCATATTGGCATTTTTGATGCCAGATCTCACAAATTTGGCATAATTTTAATTCAACTGACATAATGAACTGGCATATTTGGGTTTTTCCTGGCTTTTCTTAGCAAGATGTGCTCACATTTTCTTCATGGTTCCTCCGTTAGAAACACGCAGATTTACTAAAAGCAATGTAGACCTACAGTTAACAGGTACGGACTAACGGAGATTCGCGCCATCTCTTATTGTATGAAATGTTGTCTTCCTAAACGGATCGTGACTGCGATAAACCAAAGCCTTCGTANAAGGAGAGATAGAGGTAGACAACGAGAGAAGATGCTTGACAGTCTTGTTGCATGGCATGGAGGTGTGTCGGCACACGAACTGATACATGCTGCAGGAGATCGCAGATTATGGAGAGGCATGATCGCCCACGCCAGTCGGCAAGGCACCTGATGATGATGATGGTGACTAGAATAAATGCGGGATATAAAACCAAAACCCACCACTGATACCAAGTGATTCAGACTGTTCGGAAACTATTTGAGGACAGAACATAGAGAGGATATAGACCTAGTTCTATCTGTGGTAGATTGTATTACTTTTACCAATGGCCACGTCATCCCCCCAAAAATGGAAAGCATCTTATAACATCCATGGCTCAAAAGATCTTCAGACGGATCAGAGGCAGCATATTGTAAACTGTGTCAGTGCACTGTTGCACCAAGAATTAGTAGCATATCAAATCATGAAAAATCCGAAAAACACAGGATGAAAACTTCGTCAAAAAGCCAGTCACAGTTTATTACAACAATGACTCTTAGGCAAAGTGATGACAGAGTTAAAGGCAGCAGAGTTGCAACTTGCTGTTGGCATGACCTGCCATTGTGCAATACGCACAATAGCTCATCTAAGTGAAATCATAAGAGCGCATGGTCGGGTAGTACATTGGAGCACATACAGTTGTATAGAACTAAATGTTCATGTCTAATAAATAAAAAATATTATATCGCCTACACTTACGGATGACCTTATTGATGATTTTCGGAACAAGAAATATGTCATCATTATAGCGAAGTTGCAAAGACTTCACCCCATCTGAGAAAATACTTAAAGGTTTTAGATCCGAAAAGGTTTACGCTGTGTCTTCCACTTGTTTCAGTGAGGATGATAGTGAAGAATTCAATCTAGAGCTTTTGATGTGAAGTGAGTACAATGTTACACTTATTTGGCATTTTCTGGCATATTTTTGGTAATGGTTTGGCATAAAATGAAGTTTTTCATCTGGAAACCCTGCTCATTGGAGTATGGAAAAAATTGCGGGGGGGGGGTTGTCCAGACGATCGACTTCGTGTTTTGTTTGTGTTTGTTATTTTGTGAAACTCGACAATATGCTTTTCGTTGGGGTCTATATCTTTCCTTGATATTTATATCAAATGGCTTTCCAGGAAAAAGAGAAAGCCTTGCTCGATGCTGTTAACACAGATTGGGTCAGTAATTAGGGGCAAGCGAAATGGGCCTTCACAGTAAGCTCATGGGGGGAAACCATCAAGGAGATGAATGGCGCCTACAATGGAAACTATGACTGTAACAATGGCTTGGTACTCAAAAGTTCACACACGTATACTTTCTTAGTGACTCAGTGAATATGCTTTAAAAAACCCAAGCTGGATTTATCAGTAAAGAATGTATTGAAACACTAAGCACTTCACGAATATCTGCACCGACCTTCATCTCTGTGCCAGGTTATGCGGGTGTTCAAGGGAACGAGCGTGCAGACTATCTTGCAGACATTGCAGTTACTATGGCTGGCCCAGTAATGGACAGAAGTGATGTTATCAATGCCATGCCTTGCACTTACCGCATCGAGGAGCACACCAAAGGACATGACTCCATATCCCTGTCCAGACTGATGGACATGGGGTGCAGCCTGGGGCTGCAAGAAATGAATATTTCACTAAGAGGACAAGACGTTTCATTAACCAACACAGACCAGGCATCATCGGTCGTTTTACACTTGTGGAGCTTTTGAGGAAATCGGAGAACCGATGGATCTGTCCGGAGTGCTGTGATGATAATTCTTTCTAATCCCTAATAACTAATCACTATAAACCATAAGTGCTCTGCCACCAGTATGGACTGCTGATAAGAAATAGTCGCCTGTGTCGCTGTCCGCACGTAACTCTGTAGCTACAACGACGTTCCTCCATTTACCCCAGAGTGTCAACTTTGGTACTCATTTCCTAGAGGCTGGGTGAACCCCGGGAACCATCCGATTTCGAACATCGACCTTGGGCTGCAGCGAGTCGCAGCTGGATTTGAAAGTGAGTCTCCTATCTACTGCGCTAATACGGCCCCAGTTGTAGCAACTCAGTTTATAGATTTTCCGGTACAATATTTTTTGCCTCCCCCAAACACGAAATTCCCGTGGGAATTCCACAGCTGACTTGACAGTCCATTATTTCAAGGGGTGCAAGTGTGCTGCTGTCTGCTGCTGTTTTTGAGTGTTCATCTAGTGTCTTATGGTGCGACATATTTCGGTTTGTTGATGCGCATTTGGCTGCTTGATGATGCGCAATTGGCCGGTCTGCAATATTAGTTATGTTTTCATACCATGTCAACATGTGAGTGCATAGCGTAGTTGGTATCACATCTGCCTTGTAAATGAAAGATGCCGTGTTCAATACCGACGTGATCCATTGTGAATTTCCTTCTTTTTTTTTTTTCAAATGAAATGTAAATTGTGTGTGTTTTTGTTGTCACAATGTTTTTTTTATTAAATAAAATGTAAATTGTGTGTTTTAAATGAAATGTAAATTGTGTGCGTGCGCGCGCGTGCGTGCGTGCGCGCGCGCGTGCGTGCGCGTGTGCGTGTTTTTTTTAAAATAAAATGTAAATTGTGTGTTTTAAATGAAATGTAAATTGTGTGTGTGTGCGTGCGTGCGCGCGTGCGTGCGTGCGTGCGTGTGTGTGTGTGTTTTTGTTGTAAAATGTGCACTTTGGCTATGTGAACTCTATGTGCAATCGCAGGAAATGCCAATTGGGGTACTGTGGGGGGCCCTAAAAAGGGCCAATCATTCTACATGAATACTGCTGGGTTCACGCACGAATTGACAATCACAGAGATTGTACACGTTAGTAGATCTGAACTGAGGTCAAACTGCGGTGGCAGAAGAGACGACGGACTAGTAGTCTCTCGGGGGCCAGAATCTAGCAATGTCTGCTAGTATGGTTTCAAACATGTCGCCACACGCACGTTGAGCGCGCCTGCGCCACAGAAACTCACACATGTAAGATTCTAATAAATGTCTGTGGGTGCCATTCTGGCGCTTGTTTCTCTCCTTTGCCGACCTCCACAAACGTTCGATGCATTGCGTATGAGCACCTGTGGTGGGGTCGACAAAATTAATGGAGTGATTGTTTCTGAAACTTCTGGTTCTGTGCAGAATGCCATGCTGTTGCAGGAAGGCAATGCTGCTTTCTTTGTCTTGTACAGATGCAACTAGCTGTAGAAAATTCATCGTGACTGCTGCTGGAAACAATGGCAACTGACTGACGCCGGAAAAGAGCGGTAAACATACGTCATCAATGTTGACACTTTTCTTTGACAAAAACATCCAAAATGGAGTCAAAAAAGATCTTAAAATATCCAAATTTGCGTGGAAAACATATAGAAAAAAAAAATCCAAACGGGAAGAGACAAATTACATAGCTATTAATATGACTAAAATGTGTAGCATTAATCTGTACCGAAAAGTAAATGTGGCCAGTGTAACAGCTACCACATCACCCTTAGAGTGCCAGTACTACTGCTGCTACCACTACCACCACCACCGTCACAACAACAACACAAAACGGTCACTACTGTCTGTACAGGTCGTTGTAAGTGTGCCCCCGACATAAAACTCCATCTCTTAACCATGGGCGAACGCAAGGGGAAAAGGGGGGGGGGGGGGGGCATTTGCCCTGGATTGATTGAAAAAAAAAAAACGAATGCTGTTGCTTGTTCATCTGCAGCAGCAACGCTATCACCAGAACCAGACCCGGACAAACTTGAAAGTGGAGATACTATGTTAACCTAGGACATTGAACTCTGTGTAAAATCTACTACGAAGATTCCATCTTAAGCTCAAGTATCGTTTGCTAACTGATCCATACAAGCCTCACCCGTCATATGATTTTGAAGGCGACATGTCAGGAAGTGGAAAACGTTGTTTCAGGAAATCTTGGCTAACCCAGTATTCTCTATGGTTATCATATTCACCTAGGTTAAAAAGTGCTTTTTGCATTTTCTGTGTTTTATTTCCGCAACCAGTTCAAAAAGGAATTCAAGGTGCCTTCATTACTACTCCTTCTACAAAGATTTTAATGAATGTGCCAGAAACCAGCTCAGCATGGCATCGTGGGTTTTAACAAGATGCTGAACACTTGGCGTCAACCATTAGAGATCCAAAAAAAATATTATTTGTCAGATAGATAACTCCGTAAAACGAACTATTGAAGAAAACAGAAAGAAACTGTATCCTTTTATTTCAACAATCTTATTTTGCGGAACAAATGATTTGGCAATTCGTGGGAAAGATAGCACCAAAGGAAATGTCGAACAACTTTATACGTATCGAATTGAGGGAGGAGACAGTATTTAAAAAAAAAAACATTTTGATACAACTGCTGGAAATGCACGTTACACATCACATCGAACGCAGAATGGTTTGATTAATTTGTCTGAACAAGCTTTGCGAGAAGACATTGTAAAAGCTGCTAACAATGCTGTTGGATTCTTGATCATAGCCGATGGAACAGCAGATATCTTTAGGAGCAGAACAGTTATCACTGGGAGTCCGG